CTGCTAAGTCACAGAACTTGCAAGCTTGCAAAACCCGTCTGGATGCTTGATAAGTGCTTTGGGGTTTAGCCTGTGACTGACACCTCCACTGCCACAAACTACATTGCTTAGTAGTGGCTAAGGCGACTAGTTTGAAACCAGCTTTGGCAAGTCCTACTTATTAGAAGTGGAGTGGAAAAGCTGGATGTCACTGCCCCATCTATTCCCATCTTGGTGAGCAGATCAGTAGTGCTCCATTCATTTACCGAAACTATTATCCTAGCAGGATTTCAAAGATAAATTTTTTGGTAAGCTAGTGTAAATTTCATTGTATTTTTCATTAATTATGCATTAGTCTGGGAAGACAGTGTCCTTCAAAGCTTGCAAGGATGTCTTGATAATCCAATCCAGTACAGAAGCTGTAATTCCACACTACATGTAAGATGCTAAGAATCAATACTGTAAGCATTGTAATGTTTTGCTTTCTTGAAACCTGACTATTTGAAAACCACATGTATTCTCCTTTCTCTTCAGCCTGGAGAGTTCATACACACATTAGGAGATGCTCACATATATCTGAATCATGTGGAACCTCTAAAAGTTCAAGTAAGTACTTATTCTGTATATTTGTATCCTTTCATCTTCCACAATGCTTATCCAATACAAAGTTACCTTGGTATTATAAATATCCTTTTGCAAATATTAATTTGTGTGGCTTTTCTTCTCATTTCTACCCTAATAACTGTAGTACCTTAACCTCTGTTTGACTCGGGTTGCAAACAGAAATACTATACAAATATGATTGAAATGTGCATCAGTGTACTATCCTAGAACCAAGTTAGAGATCCAGAATGTGTACCCCTACTTTTGACTTCATTCCAAAACCTTAGAAAACCATTCCACCTAATACAGATAAACACAAAATAAAATGTCTTTGTAGTGTATCAGAAAAGGATAACTTACCAGTTCACAGACTTAATCAGTATTACTATTTGGCTGAATAAGGCTATATTTTCTTCAGGAAGTAATTTGTTGCAGTAGGAGCAAATCAGAATTTTATTTGATTAGACTTAGCTCGGACTGAATGTCCTCACCATTCATATGGTTCAAAACCATCCAGAGAACAGTTATTGGTTCGGACCTGAATGTTCCTGTGAGAAACTGCAGCACATTTGATGCACATCTGGCTCAGAATTTCCAATTTAGTTTCCTCTGGAAGGAATCTAATCTGTAACCACCGGAATTGCTCTGCAAACTGAAAATGCTTGCAGTGCATTTGGGTGATCAGGGAATCCACTTTAAAATTATGCTACTGCTCCCTATCAAAATGCTAACGTAGATTCCACCTAACTGTATTATAATTTCCTTTTTTTTTTTTTTTTTTTTTTGAGTATAAATCATCTTGGGGAGGAGGGAAGATCTACATAGTATAATCTGAATTGAGATTAATAAGATCTAATTCATAACACAAAATCTCTGCCTTCAAGTATTAGCTTTATACAATAAGATTGCTTTTATTTCAGCTTCAGAGGGAGCCAAGACCTTTCCCCAAACTCAGAATTCTTCGTAAGGTTGAAGACATCAGCGACTTTAAGGCGGAAGACTTTCGGATTGAAGATTATAATCCTCATCCACCTATTAAAATGGAGATGGCTGTTTAATGTTGTAAACCAGCTTCTATTAATGTGGAAATGTACCTAAGCTGCTTAGCTTTCTCTGTACTTAAAGTTATGGGGGTTTTATATACTTCGAAAGATACATACTTTGTTATTGAAAAAGAAACAGCTACTAGTAGACCAGCACTGCCTTCAGTACTAAACTGTAGTCATACAGAACAGATGATTGCTGTACTATGCAGGGGCTGACCCAGTTTTAAGTTGTTAGTGAGATAGTTTTCTACACGTTGTTTCAGTTACCAGTGGCCACTTCTGTTACCATTCAGTTACTATGTGTGAGTAGCACTTGCTTACATGCTTTATTTAGTGCTGAAAATAAGAACTTCTATGTATGATAGAGGATTCCTTCAAGGTTGTTTAATAAAGCTTTTTAAAAAAAAAGATTTTAGTATGTTTGTTTATAGCTAGTAGTAAATAAGAGTTGGAAAGCAAAGGTAAATTCTGTTTTACTTTAGGATCTTGGAGGGTGAAATCTAGCAAGGAAAAACAAACTCAAACTTCCCATGGTCTTCAGAGATAAACCAGCAAGAAGACAAAAGATCTTAATGGAGCCTTGTCTGAAATGCAATCTCTGCATAACAACTCTGTATCAGCATCTTTTTTTTTTATTTCCCAATCCTACATGAATGATGAATTTGATATAAATCAAACAGAGCTGTAGTTAAACAGAGGTTACCAGATGGTATTAGTAATAATCTGTCATCATTTAAAACCAGATCCCACAAACATATGGACTAATTTTGCAGCCTGGAGCAGTAAAAGTTAGAGAGAGTAGTATTTGTAGGATTGGAGCTTATTAATTAAATCTTAGCAGAATTCGGCTTTCATCTCTCCTTACCCATGCAACTTCTGCAGTAACTTTAGTCCTAAGAAAATTTATCTTCAGGAATTCAATTATGACTAGATCTATGGTTAATATCCAGACATAGCATATTCAATACATATTTGAACACATGGAGAAATGCATAGTAATGTTTTTATTAATTTTTAAAGTCAGTAAACTGGGAAGTATCATTGTAAAATTGTACAATTTGAGATAATTCTAAGAATTTAATAAGCAGTGTGCTTTGATTCCATTAATTCAGGGGCTTGCGTAAGAAGAGCGTTGCATCTTTATTAAGCCAAACTGATCATAACTTTCAAAAGTGTATTTTGCATCAATATTATTTGCAAATCTCATTATACTAATCTTCATTATACTGAACACTGACCTTCAAACTAAATGTTTTGTAGTGCCATGTCATGTGCTCAAAAAATAAGTTGTTCTCTTTTCCTGACATTTAGCCCAGCACAACAAAATTGCAGAAAAAGGATATCATTACCTTTTCCAAGTACATCAAATGTAAATAGGCCACTGCTTATTACAAAGGTTCTCCTCAGTATCTACTGTAGTCCATCTTTCTTGAACAGAGATGATCAGACTACATGCTATTTCAGCTGAGATTGTATGGGAAACGGTTCACGGAAGGATCAAACCTATGTTTTTCTGAGGCTGCATTAAGTGGACACTCAGTAGCCAACCTGTAGTTAAACACACTTGGTTCCTGCCTTCTTTCAAATTATGGAACTCACAGATGGTAGCAGTATTCTTGTTACTAGACCTGAAAGCCATGTCACATGCTCCTTCCAATAAATTTAATCTCTGCTCTACTAATCTTACATTTTAAAGTCACCTAGGTCGGATATTCCAGGTGTCATCTGCATTAATGATACCTCCCAGCTGCAGGCTGTCAGCAACTTCTTACCATGTGCATACTTCTATAAGTTAAAGGTTCTTGAGTGTATATACAGTCCTCTAAAGTACAAGAAAACAGTTTAGGTTGCGTTGAACAATTCTGCCTACACTTAGCAAGTTAAGTTCCTTTTGCTGGAAACCACTTTATGTAACACGTCAGATAAGGTGGAATCTGCAGGGCATTTTAGCAAGTGTAGCCAGAGAGGACGTGAAACAAAATGTTGGCCTCAGGGCTTGATTAGTGGGAATCAGCAGTCTCAGTGAAGTTAACCAGGACAGGAATACCTAGCCAAGAGAAGAATTTTGAATGGGAACCATTTACCTCCTTTCATAAATTATAAAGGAGTTAGTCCAATCAGAAGGAAAATTTTAAAAACCCTTTTAAGTATTACCTTTATGAAACATGGCAAACGGTCTATTCTCACATAGGTGTATGGACATACATAGTGTGTTTAAACAGACCAATATATATAGCTCTGGAAGAACTACTGCTTTTCAGTATAGGAATTGACTACAACTTCACTGTTCCCCTTAATCAGCACAATTTACTACCAATAGCAGTTGTTGAAATGAAGCTTGTACCTTGAAGTCCAAGAAGGTTTATGCTGCTCAAAAGATCAGAAAGATGTAAAAAGCAGACTTTACACAGCAGACTTTAATGTGAATAAAAGTGAAAATACACATATTTTAAATTAATAGGTATGAGACTTCTGTGATCTCAAGCAAAAAATATGACTATTCAAAGAATTTGAATATATAGACTTAAACAGGAGGTACTCAAGGAATTTTGATTTGCAGAATATGAAGACTGTTCACTGCTGCAAAGATGACTAGTATGACTGCAGGCTATATTCAGAGCAGTATTTTAGGCAAAACATGGGATGTTGTTAGATCCTTTTGGGAAGCTATGAAAGGAACCCTTAGGCCTACTGAGAGAAGGGAGCGTTCCTGGACTTACTTCCTGACGAATAAGCTGTCCCAGCAGCTCCCTGTGCCTCGCACTCCCCAGCTGATGACTTAAAGAGCTGTACAGGTGGCATTAGAAGTCAGTTCCTTACCAGCTCTGCATATCCATAGCATTTCTGAGTCCTTCCCATTTGCCCTGCCGACTGCTACACTCATTCTGCCTCACAATTTGGCCTTGAGGAGTTTCCCCTCTTCTGTCATTCCTCCTCCGAATGCATCCTTTTATCATTTCCCCACTTTCCAAGGGCAATTCAATCAACTTGGAGATAGCAAAGAAATTTCTTACCACTTTGCTCAAATACCAACTCCCTCTATGTCCTACCTTCTTAGACAAGCTTTTGTAACCTACGTTATTTCTGACATATTAGGATACGTTGCAAAATTGGCCTTACTGCAATACCAGAAAAATATTAGTTATCTGGTCACGATAGATGAGGGGTCAGAAAAGAAGGAACTGTTCCTGAATTTTGAGACAAACATCTACCTCATCATCCATCAAAATCAATAGTCCGTTAATTTGTCTGACTTGGTGAGTTTGCTATCATAGTGACTGGGATCTGTGAAGTGTCTCAAGACAGAATACAGCCCAGGTTTCAAGTACCTTTATCAAAACCACAAACTGCTCACTTTCACCTGCTTGAAGTTTAATCCACACTTCTAACTTCCCTTTGTAGCTCACTAACAAGACAAATGCATGCTGGGACCACCATGTAGCAACATCTTTTTTGAGAAAAAAAAAAGAAAAATCACCATAGTCAATTGCTCCTGAAGTATTTTGTGTAACTAACCTGCTTTCAAGGCTTCCAGATACTGGGATATAATAAAATATTATCAAGTGCTGGACTAATTCACAGAGACCCCCCCAAGTGCATACCAGAGAAAGACAGTGCCCAATACCAAGATGTTGAAAGCTCTTTGGTGCAGCCCTATAGCATGACAAAGAAACCAAAGAAAATTACAGCAATGCATGCAAGATTATGCTCAGAAATCACAAGCATGACAGCTGAAGAAACTAATCAAACTAGCTTGGAGGGTGAGGAGAGAAAGATTTTCTCATTTCTGCTGCATTTTGCAGAGCCTTACTCGGGAACTTTTTGGCCATCAGCAATGCAGACAATTTTTCATTCACACTTCCCAGCCTGCAGCTGTCAATTTGGAGATAACTCAAGGCCTTAGCTTGTAGACGCTGTTTAAATATCACTCTATTGTGGCAGTGTAAAGGAAAAAAAAAAAGTTAAGACCTGAAGTCTCCCAAATTAATATATTACAAGAGCTGCTGGCAACTCCTATCAAAACATTTGTATAGCATCCCTCCTGTGTGTCTCAATAAATCCAAATTATTTTAATTACTCCATTTAAATGAGAGATCACATGAGAATTTGGATGAAGTGAACTTCAAAGATGTTGCCAATATTAAAAATAATCAGATTCTACTTGTAGTGTTAAGAGCACTGAGGTACACTGAAAAAAAAAAATGAACTGAGGTACACTGAAAAAAAATCACTGTGTGCCAAAGGGCATAGTCGTACTGGAATGAGTTTGGAATTTACTGCCTCTTATCTGGATGTTGAACCACATAAGCGAAAGTGAAGTGAAAATGCCAAGTGAAAATGGCTTTTCCATTCCAGGGCAAGGACAGGGGCTTAACCTACGCAAAGGCGGCCAAGTTTGTAGTGAAACCATTATGTGATGCTGGCACGAACTGATTGGGCAGCTCTGCCGGATAATTGCCTTACAGACTGCCTCAAAATCTTGTCAGGATTTAGGCTCCTTTAGGAGCCAACTCACCCCCCTCTGGTCACCCAACCGTGTCCCCAGGCAGGGACTTGGGGGGGGCTGGACTGCCTTAGCCCCACTTCAGCATGCTCAGGACTCCACAGCTTTGGGATGTGCTTGCCTATGTGAATGAGCAGCTATTCCCACTTTGAGACAGCTAAAGTGAATATTCCTTCTTCTGGATACCAGTCCAGACAGCTGGGAGATGGCCTTGTAGACAAGATACCCTTGGATAAGAATCAGGATTCAATTTCTAGCTGTGCTACAGATTTCCTGTCTGGAGCTTGGCTAAAAGTTGTTCAGTCATTTCAGGCCTCACATTAATTTCCCGTGTTTGTAGTACAGATAATAGTACTCCCCTTATTCACAGGGGAATTCTGTGGATAAATACATTAAATGCTTATGTGGTTCTCAGATGTTATGGTGAAAAGAAGAAGGTTATACAAACCATCAAGCAAAGCCAGTATTCAGGACTGGACTTTACTTTGTAAAGCAAAGCTATACTAATGGGTAATTCAAACCCATCCTAATAGATGTTCATTACAAAACACCCTCCTCCCCAAATTAAGCCTCCTATCTAGTGGTAGACAACAGCTGAGAGCAAGAAGCACAATGAAATATGTTGATAGCAAGGCTTGGCATGAGAAGCTGGGAGCAGAGAAACTGTGCTAATGCAGTCACTGTTGTCTCCAGTTGCTGCAGAGAACTGAGAGTTTGTTAATCTCAAACATTGTTTCGCTCTGTAGATTTGGTGTCAAGACTTGGCAAAAAGGTGTGTGCAATAAAAAATAATTTACTTTAGGTTGGAGACTGGTATTCTAAAAGGTACCAGCCTGTCTATTGACATCTCGCTACTTATGATATATCCGGGAATTAGTTCTGGTCTTTGGACTCATTTAAAATATTTCATGTGCAAAGTATTTAAAAACAGCTGATGGCAGTGACTTACTACTAATGCTAGCAATGAGTTTCCTTAGGAGAAAGGAAAGGTTTCAACCTTATAAAATAGCTGCATATATACCAGCCAAATTCCTCCTAAGGCCTGACAGGGACTGAGGGCACTGACAGGCCTCACCCTGACCAGTCTCACCTGGGGCCCACCTGTCTGCCCACGGGCCTTAGTTTCTGCCTGGGCTGCGTTGCAGGTGTACCTGTTTCCAGCTGTGGTACCGCTGTGGACATGTCTGGCCACGGGTCAACATCCCGGCCTGGCCTCGTGGCCCTGGGCTGTGTCTGACCTTGGTTCCCCTCACCAGGCCTGATCCTGAACCCCACTCACAGGCTGCTGTCCTGGCCTCACCTCAGCCCATCCCCGTCCTTGTCCCCAGGGAGGTGCCCAGTGCTTGGGGCTGGGGCTGCCTCACTGTCCCCCACCGACCCTGCTCCTGACTGGAGGTGGGACGGGCCTGGCTGGCAGGCCTCTGTCCTGCTGCCCTCATGGGGACACCCTGCAGCTCCCCGTCCCCTGGCAGCAGCTGGCCCCTGTGGCACCCTGCCAGTTACCTCAGGCTGTCTCGAGCCCTAAGCCAGCACCGCAGAGCCAGGTGCAAGGCCTTCCCCTGCAAACCTGGCCTGGCTCTGGGTTCTGACCCTCCCACAGCACCAGCCTCTGCCTAAACCCAAGCTTCTGAGTGAACCCCTCACAGGGGTTCTTCCGGCTCTTCCCTCCTGTGCCCCCCCTCCTCATCATGCTGCCAAGGCT